CCCCACCGAACAGCGCCGGCGGGCCTGGCACTGCCAGGGCGGGTCGGGGCAGCCCCTTGGGAAGCCCCTTCCCCGCCGGCTGATGGGGTGGCGTGCCTCAGCTTGGGGACAGAAAGTGCCACTTTGGTCCTGCTGCTGAGAACTGGGAAACCCACGTCGCCACCGTGCACCTGTGCCCTGCACGGAGCAGAAAGGGTGCCTGCGCCCATGGGTTTTGGGGGGGCTGTGGTGGGACAGTGGGGACCGTGGGAGGTGGTTCAGCCCCAGCGCCCACAGCATGGGCTGGGAGAGCCGCGTCCCTGCCCAGCACCCTCTGTCCCTGGGTGTCACCCAGGGCTGGCGGCAGGGCAGGGTGACCCGTGCCCACGGGCAGGGGATGGCAATGCCACCCAGCACTGGTGATGTGCGAGGCCAGGGCAGCTTCCAGGGGGTGACACACGTCAGCGTGGCTGAGCTGGGGCTGCCAGCCCCCAAAATCCGGTGTCCCACTCGCAGGGCGACAGATCACCCGTGCTGGGGGCAAGGGGAGGCTGAGGGTGCCTGGCTGGAGGAGCCAAGGATGCTCAGGCCAGCGTTAAAAACATGCTGGGGGTGGTAGCACCCCTGGGGACGGGCCTTGCTGCCCATGCCACCTTCACAGGATGCCACCAGCTGCCCCCCGTGTCCGGGAGCTGCTGATCCCACATTTGGCCCTGAGGTGCCGGTGCAGGGTGCTCCGTGCCATCCCCGGCACCCATTTGTGACAGGGGGGGACCAGCGGCTCAGCCATCCCAGGGGCAATTCCGGCAGGGTCCCCGGGATGCCCTGACGGGAGACCCAGCACCCTGTGTCTGTCCGTGCTGGCGGCGGGAGCGGGCACGGGCTGGCGCCTGGGGGTCCGGGCGCCGCGCCGTTCCCAGGCATTCCCGCAGCCCTGCGATCCCTTTAGTAACAACATAACAACCTGTCAACGCGGCTCCTAATCGCCAGCCGCGGACTGACACCCCGGCCATACATTATTTAAACATCCCCGATTCGGCGCTATAAGGAAATTCCATGGGAGCCCCTTATCGGTTATTGTAGCGGTGCGGGAGATAAGCCGTCGCCCTGGAATTTCCCTCTAGCACGGGGCAACTGCTCACCCGGCTCCAGGGCCCTGGGAAAAGGGTTATTTGGGGTTATTTAGGATGCTGGAGGGGGCTTTGTCCCCTTGGCCACCAGCTCTGGGGAGGGGGGGGAGCGGGGGGGGCGCAGGTGGCATCCCAGAAAGCACTGTTCCCGTACCCGAGTGACACGGAGCAGCAGCCAGCTTCAGGGAGCTTCGTGCCCCGAGTTAAAGCCACGCTCCTCCTCGTATGCTCTAAGAAATGAGTGGGTTTGGGGTATTTTGTGCTGCGGTGCAGGTCTGGGGGCAAATCGTCACCCACGGATGAGCTGGCAGCCACAGCTGTGTCTGCCGTGGCTGGGATGGAGGTGGCACCCACAGGATGCTGGGACCTGTCCCTGGGGTCCCTCATCCCATCCACCCCCCAGCCCCAGGGTGCGTGTCCTGTGGGGGTGCCACCCAAGGGTGGCACTGTCACTGCTCCAGGGCACCCTAAAGCCCAGCTCCTGCCACCAAGGCTTCTCTTTAGGGAGCCATTTGCTAAGGAAAGCTTGGAAGCATCACCTGGAAACACCCAAACGTCTCGGAACCCAGCTCTGGCTGCCCAGCGAGGGTTCTGGGTGGGCAGCAGGCACAGCAGGGCCCACGGGCAGGGGCTGGATGGGACCTGGGGGTGCCAGCCCCACCATCCCAGCTCGCCCCCATGGGTGCCCTCATACCTCCCAATCCTGCCGCCTGGGCTGCGAAGGGTTAATGGGGGGGCAAACGCACAAATAAATGTCTTTTAATTTAATTTTGCTTTAATATGTAAAACTGTTGCTCTTGGCAGGAGGTGCTGCAGCCCAGCCAAGAGCAACACATGGATTTTCGGAGTCAAGGGGCTCCTTTTAATGCAGAGGAGCAGCCACCCCTCACCCCGCACCCTGGAGTGGCACCCTGGGGTGCTCCTCCCCCACCCCGACACCCTCCTTGGGTGCTCCATGGGATGCCCAAGCCCTGCCCAAGCCTCAGAGACCTGCAGTGGGGATAGCAAAGGACCCATGGAGCCCTTCCCAGAGCTTCATCCCACCCGCAGCAGTGGGCAGGGGGGTACCAGGGAGTGCCACCAGCATCCCAACCCTTGGCCAAGTCTTGCCCTTTCATTGCACCGCTGCCTGTGCCTGCTGGGGAGCCACCTGCCCACCCGTGCAGGCACCCCTGGGGTACGCCGGGGCAGCCGGGGAGGGGACAGCACGATGCTCGCCGCCGGGATGGGGACATCACGGCCACGCACAGAAGCCGAGATCTCCAGCAGGTCTGGAAGCCTCGCAGTGAAAACAAGAACACCAGGTAGAGCAACACAGCAGATTTACGGCCTTGGAAGTGGCCCTGGGCTGGGAATCCAATATCAATAGCTGGAAGAAAGGGCTCACAGAGGCTGCACAGAAATCCTGCCCGGGAAGCGGCCAGCCCGGCGGAGCGGGGCCATATCGCAGGAGCCCGGGAGCCTGTGGTTCCTGGCAGCAGCTTTGCCCCATTTCCTTTCTTCCCGTCAACAGCGCTTGCAAACCTGTGCAAGAGCCTCGGCGAGGGGAGGGGGAAGGAGAGCAGGAAGGGCCACGGGTGGAGAAAAATCCCCTGCTGCCGCCCGGGGGTAAGGAGAGGCTGCAGCAATGACCCTCTCGCTCAGCCATGGATGGGTCCTCCCTGGGCCGCAGGGTTTGGGGGATCCCCCTTGGCACCAGCGATGGGGACAGCCCCGGTGGGAGCCAGGGAGGGGGCGATGGAGCCGGGGAGAGGGTGATGGAGCAGAGGAGGGAATGATGGAGCAGAGGAGGGAAGGGCGATGGAGCCAGGGAGAGGGTGATGGAGCAGAGGAGGGAATGATGGAGCAGGGGAGGGGGCGATGGAGCCAGGGAGAGGGTGATGGAGCAGAGGAGGGAATGATGGAGCAGGGGAGGGGGTGATGGAGCAGGAGAGGGGGTGACGGAGGTGGGGAGGGAGCAGTGGAGTAGAGGAGGAGGTGATGGAGCTGGGGAGGAGAGCAATGGAGCCAGGGAGGGGGTGATGGAGCAGAGGCGGGAGTGATGGAGCTGAGCAGGGGGTGATGGATCCAGGGAGGAGGTGATGGAGATGGGGAGGGGCTATGGAGCTGGGCAGAGGGCAGTGGAGGTGGGGAGGGGGCAATAGGACAGGGGATGGGGCAATAGGGCAGGGGATGGGGCGATGGAGGCAGGGAGGGGGCGATGGATTTGGGGAGGGAGTGATGGAGCTGTGGAGGGGACCGTGGGTGCTGTCCTGTCACGCCTTGGCCGGGGCAGGCAGGACTTGCTGCAGGGTGGTGAGGGGCCCCATGCCGGCTGCGCCGCTCTCGCCCCTGCCCCTCCCCAGCAGGCTCTGCCCTGCCGAGCCCACGGACCCTCGCTGGTCCCAGCTCCCCCCAGCGCCAGGTTCGCAGGCAGGGGCTGGGGCAGCGAGGGAAAACCCAAATAGCAAGGACAGGCCATCAGCCGTGCCCAGGGGCGAACCTGGGCTCCACGGCACCCCATGCTCGTCCTGCCAGCCCGGAGGGAGGGCGATGGCACAGCCCCGCAGGGATCCGGGGGGATAATTTTCCCTTCCTGAATAATTTCACAGGAATAGCTGGCGTGAAAGGCCATCGGCTTTGATTTC